TCTCACCACACACACTGAAACCGCGTGGGGATAAGCGTGTTACTAGCATGGCCACACGTCTGTCAGTCCAAACGGTGTACAATAGGCCAGCAGGGGGCGCAGTGGTGATGGATGCTCTGCCATGTAGGACCCACGTGGGAAAGGCCGGGGCTCACGTCCAGTGGCCTCTGTGCATGCCAGTGCACGTGTGTGTGTGCCCATGCTCTGGGCTGGCTGAGGCAGAGGGGGGATTGCGGTGTAAATGCGCCATGGGGGATGCCTATCTCTTGCTTTCCATCCCTCCCCCTGAAGAAATAAATTAAAAACAACTCGTGCCATACACTGTAAATACATACAATTTCTTTTCTTTTTTTTTTTTTTTTAGAGACTTTTGCTATAGGGCACTCGCCAGAAAGAGAGAGACAGAGAGACGGAAAGCAAGAAATCACCCCCTGGGGGGATGGCCACACCGCAACCCCTTCTCCTCAATTCTACTCTCGGGATCTTAGGCACGCATGCACACACGCCCAGCATGAGTTTACGCCACTGGGTCCGGGATTCGAACCGTGGCTGACTACATGGGAGTCCAGCGACATAGCCATTACACCAACTGCTGGTCCCAATACATATAATTTCAATTAACTTTTTTTTAACTTAAAAAAGGCAAAGAGTAAGCCCGGGTGCAGAGGTGCAGTGAGTAGCATACTGAACCGCAGTGCCAGAAGCCACGTGGCTGATGTGGTATAGACGCCAAGGGGACCTGAAAACATGCCAGCTGTGCGGCACACAAGATCCCGATGAGCTGAAGGGCTGCGCCAGGGGATGGCGGCATGAGTACACCCTGACGCGGGTGCCCGCCTCTCTCTGCCTCCCCATCTTTCTCACTCATGGAAGAAATAAACTTTAAAAATAGACTAAAGTAAGATATAAATAAATAATACAGATGTGGAAAAAAATAAAAGCAATGGTTGTACTAAATAAAGAGGAAAATAAACTAAAAAATGTTCCGGAGATAAACTTAGACCCAATATTGAAAGGGCAGACTGTACACAAGGGAACACTCGCCCAGAAGCAAGGCCACTTAGACGAATCCTAGAAAAATGGTGGACTTCACAGATGAAGAAAGCCAGCCAGCCAGCGGCCATGCCACGGAAACGCCGTGAGCGTCCGGGACGCTCAGCCTTCTGTGCCAGAGGGCGCCGTGCAGTCCTGGAAGACTCTTTTGAAGAAAGTACGAGCAAACATTCAGACCAGCCAAGGATGAGAGTGTAAAGGCTGCGGCCTGCACGGAAGTTAAGGTGCTGGGTTCCCACATGGTCGACTGCAGTTCGAGTCCTGGACCTGGTGGCTTGAAATTCACGCTGGGTGCATGTGCATGTGTGCCCAAAATCCCAGAAGGAGAATGGAAGAGAAGGGATTGCAGTGGGGCATCCCCCCTCAGGGGTGGTTTCTCTCTTTCATTTCTTGTCACTCTCTGGCAAGCACACGAGCCCTATGGTTAATTATATATAGAGAGAGAACCAGCTAAATGTTTAAGAACTCAGAATACTGTCCATATAAGCTCTTCAACTGTATTGTTTCTTTTTCTTTTTTCTTTTTGAAGAGAAGTTTTTGCTATAGCACACATACACTCACTGGAAAGACAGAGAGGGACAGAGAGACAGAAAGCGAGAAATCCCCCCTGAGGTGGGATGGCCACGCCGCAATCCCTTCTCCTCCATTCTCCTCTCGGGATCTTGGGCACGCACGCACATGTGCCTGGCGTGAGTTTAAGCCATAGGGTCCAGGACTCAAATCGAGGTGGACTCTGTGGGAGTCCAGCAAGGTAACCATTATGCCATCTCCGGTCCCTTGTTTACTGCCACACGCAGAAAGAATGTAAGGAACCCCTTGGACCCATTACCTAGCTGTAAGAACGATCAGCTCAGAGCCCAGTATCTTACCAGTTCATCTGTCAGTGTCTCATTCCTGAGGAACGTCCGGAGGACCAACTCCAACCAACCAAGAGACGGCTGGCAAGCATCTCAGAGGAAGGAATGGCAGAGAGCTGACTCCCTTGGCCGCAGATCTCAGACAGAATCAGAGGTGGGGCTCGGCCGAGGAGGGATGGAATGCTGCGTGTCTGCACCGGGTAGAGGTAACAGGAGGGGCTGGAGGAGAGGGTGCAGAGAAGCATGGGTCCCGGCCCACTGTGGTCTGAGCAGTCCAGGCTGAGAAACCAAGGGGTGGGTGACCGGGCGTGTGGAGCGCACAGAGGCAGGTGCAAAGGGGTCTCCTGGACTGGCTGAAATGGGCGGTGGGGGCGTGTGGTGACACAGTGATAAAGTGCAGCCCTCTGTGAGGCTGTCCCGATGGAAAGGTTCCAGGTTCGTGTCCAGAGGCCTCCCTGAGTCGGCCGGTGTGCCCACCATCCAGGGCTGGCTGAAGTGGGCATGGACCGTGGCCACAAGGCTGTTGGGAGTGCAGTCGCTCTGCCTCTCTCTCTCTCTCTCTATCTCTCTCTCTCTCTCATGGAAGAAATAAATACATTTTTAAAATAAAGACAGTGGGTAGTGAAGAGGCAGGAAGAAGGAACTCCATCCAGACAGACTTAAAGGCATGCCCTGCGCCCTCAGTGGGCCCTCTGGGAGAGGAGCCACAGCGTAACGCGAAAGCTTTTGTGTCTGGCTAGCTGGGAGCTGGAACTATTTAGGAGATTGCTCATGGAAGAATTCTGGAGACTGACTGAGACCCAACAGGGGCAGTAGCCCCTGCCCTCCTCCCCTACCTGGGAGGCAGGCCTCACAGCCGCGCTGGCGTGGACTTTCCTGGCTCCAGGCCCTCTGTCCTCTGTTCCAGACACCGCTGCCCAGCACTGGGGGGACAGAGGCACAGAAAGAGTCCACAGTCTTGGGAGCCAGCTCACTGGGTGCACAGCCCAGAGCAGTGTGGATGAGACGGCGCTCAGGGACCGGGAAATGCAGAGCTCACTGTGGCCCAGGAGGACGCAAGGACTGCCATTTGTCCATCATTTGGCGACGCTGCCAGCTCGGATGGCAC